TGGTTTTATAAGGTAGCATTTAGGAATGAGTATCTAAGCATTCTGTATGAATTTTAAGATTTTTAAAAAATCTGTGGATAATTACATTAAAATTTTGATTGACAATGTGTTGGATATGTTCATTGCATTTGGTAAGATGGCCGTTTTTGGGTTTTGGGCTTTAAAAAAAAAACCATTGATTCTCCTATTCTTTGAGCAGGAGAAGATTTTCCATCACTTAATGTTTGCCTCACCCTGTTGAGGTTTTCAGTAGAGAATATATCACCTCTTTCTTGTATTCATTACTTTTCTATTGCTGTGAAAAAATACAATGAACAGGCAACACATAGAAGGAATGCTTGTTTGGGGTCTATGGTTCTAGAAATATAAGAGTATATCATTACTATGGCTGGAAGTATGACACCACCCAAATAATCACAGTATTGGTGCAGCAATTGAGATCTCACACACTAATCCATAAACAGGAAGCAGGGAGATCATTCAAAATGGTGCCAGTTATTTGGAGCCTTACATCTCACCTCCAGTGACATACTTCCTCTAGCAAGTTCACAGCTCCTAATCTTCCTAAAACATCCATCAACTAGGGATCAAGTATTCAAATGCCAGAAATTTATAGGGGACATCTCTTTCAGACAAGCATACTGTGGTATGCTTCTTCTGGGGTATTTTCTTGAGGCATCTGTAAACAGACTCATTTCTCCAATTTGTTTCTCAGTTTGTCATTGGTAGATAGGAAAGCTTTTAAGGTTTGTATGTTAATTTTATAACTTGTCTCTTTGATAAAAGTCTTTATCAGACCCCAGTGTTTTCTGTTAAACTCTTTCAGAACTTTTATTGTTAGAATTATATCATCTAAAAGTAAATGTACTTTGACATGCACACATTATATATTACCTATTAAGTATTACATATCATATATCATATATTGTATATCCCTTATTTTTTATGTGTGTCTATGTATAGTGGGGGAGTACATGTATCATCAAGTATGTAGATGGAGACCAAAGAATAACTTTCACCATGTTGATTTAGTTCATCAGGTTTAGCTACAAACACCTTTCCTCTTGAGACATTTCACTCCCTTTGATGTGTCCCTCAATTTGGTTAGAAAGTATTTTATTAACACGTTTTGCATCGATGTTCATCATAGATTTTTAGTCTACACTTTTTTTATTGAATATTTGACTAATTTAGAAAATAAAAATATTTTTAAAATACTTTAGAAAAATACTTTGGCTGTGTGCCTTCTTTTCTTTCTTTTATGATATAGCTTGAGCACCTTGGTATTCTCTGAATAAATATCTGGTAAAAATACCCTGTTCTGAAGATATCTGTATTCTCCCTGAACACCCACATTCCAGTGTCATCCCCTTCCCTACGTCCTGCCTTTCTGTGTTTATAACCCCTGTGTGATTGAATTACAATTTGAAAAAAATAAATAAATTATTTTTAAAAATCTGGTAAAATTCACCTGAGATTGAACAGTTTTTAGTTAAAAATTATCTCGATGTTTGAAAACTCATTGCTTATTATAAGCCTGTCTAGTTTTTGAGGTTTATTTTGTTTAATTGTGAAAGTGTTTTCCTTGCAAATATGTGTGTTTGTTTCAGGTGTCTGGTGTTTGTTTTAATAGGGCATTGTAAACCAACAGGTGAGTACAACAAATTGAATCTTTGTCCTATAGAACAGTGAGTGTTTTTAAGTGCTGAGCCTTCTCTCCATGTGTACCTGTATAATTGTTTTAAATGCAATATTAGATTCATATTGATAGTTTTATATTTGTAGAAAATTCATCCATATCTTTTAGGTTTTCAAGTTTAGATGTATATGATTTTTAAGGTAACGTCTATAAATTTTCTGAATTTCACTTGTGTTGTCATGACGACTCCCCTTTCATGTTTTACTGTATTAGATTTGAAATTTGCTATTTCTTTTGGTTAGTTTAGATAATATTTGATCAATATTTATATTTTGAAAAGAAAACAACTCTGTTTCATCACCTCTGTATATTTGTTTTCTTGTTGATGCTGTTTCCTTAAGATTTGATCAATATTTAAATTTTGAAAAGAAAATAACCCCTCTGTTTCATCATCTCTCTATATTTGTTTTCCTGTTGCTGCTGTTTCCCTTTTCTCTAATTTCTACACTGATTTTACTGACATATCTCCAGCTGCTAAGTTTGGGGTTTGTTTTGTTCACTTTCCAAATTCCCAAGGTGAATTATTAACTAGTATATTAGCAATCTCTTCGATTTCTTAATGTAGATACTTTGAGCTTTGAATGTCCCTCTTACAGCATTTATTTTTATTCCACAGTTTAGAAGATGTTTTGTTTTCATTTTCATTTGTTTGTAGGAGTTTTTTTGTTCTTGACTTCTTCATCATTCAGTTGTGAGTTGTTAAATCTCCATGAGTTTGTTGGCATTCTGGAGTTTCTCTTTTCATTTATTTGTAGTTATTTCATTGTTGTCAAGTAGAATATAAGAAATTATTTCAACTTATAATAATTAAGACTTTCTTTGTGTCTTAATATCTATCTATTTGAGTGATAGTTCCATAGGCTTCTGAGAAAAATGTGTATTCTGCAGTGTTTATATTTACTGTTTTATAGATGTCTGTTAAGTCAATTCAATCTGAGACATCATTTAACATTGTTTACGTTTTGTTTGTTTGCTTTTTTATTGGATAGTTTATTTATTTATGCTTCAGATGTCATCCCCTTTCTCTATTCCCCCATGCCCCAGAAATCACCAATCCTATACATATTTCTCATTTTTGCTTTCATAACATTTTAATTACATGCATGTATTAAGGTCAACTCTATGTTGATGGTCTAGCAATATAATAGATGAAAATAGGCAAGGAACACACAAGATAATAATCACAAATATTCAAAGAACATGCAAGGCAATAAACAAAGTTCTATAATCACATACATGATCACTATTTCTAAGGTCCTATCAGGATGAACAAAATATCTGAGCCTACTTCCCTGTCCTAGCCCAAAGTCATTTTAATATCTGAAGCCTACTTCTTTGTTCTAGACTAAGATTTAGATTCCTGACTGATATTATTTCTTTGTTCTAGCCTAATATTTAGATTCTTCCCTCAAATTTCTTCTTTGTTCTAGCCTAAGATTTAGATTACTACCTGATTACTTCTTTGTCCTAGTCTAATGCCAGATTCCTGCCTGAAGCCCACTTCCTTGTCCTTGGCCTATGTCCGATTCTTGCCAAGCATGCTCAAAAGCTCTCTGCCTCTCCCCATTTTTTATTTCATAAGCAAGACTGAGCCTACCTTAGGTCATTCTGAGAGGAATGCCTTCCTTACCCATTGTGGAATATGCATTATCAAAAGCAATGCAATTTGGTGTTAGGTTGGTAAGGCTCTGTGGAGAATCTTGCCTGTCCTTGGCTTGGCAGCCTTTTAAATTAATAACTCAACCTGGGGTCCATTTTCAGTTTCAAGCCATGTACATTGGCTGACAACACATTGATGCTGTTAAAGACAAGCTTTAACACTATGGGCAGGAATAAAAGTCTTCCCAGGACAAAAAAGGCTAGCATGATCAAGCTATATCTGCCATTCTTGAAGCTTAACCAAAAGAGAACTATTGACCTCAGACCATGTGTCAACCATTCAGAGTGATACTACTGTTTGTGACTTTATATCTAGTAGTATTTTCTATGTAGAACTGGATGGACTTGTGATTAGAATTGCACTGCCCTCTCCATGCCTTATTCCTTTAATCAATATAGAACATTGTTTATCATTTCTCAATAGATTTTGGTTCAAGTCTGTTTGATCAGATTAAATCAGCAACATTTTCTTTCTAGTTTTATTTGCCTGGAACATTTTGCTTGATCATGCCATTATAAAGTCCCATCTATCCTTAATGATAACATACAGCAAAAATGTACTTCTCACTTTTTGATGCACTCTCCTAGCCTGTGTGTTTTGATAAAGGAATTGACATTCATATGAAGTTATCATTGAAAGGTGTCTATTAATTCCTGTCATTTTGATGATTCTGCCAAAGTACTCAAGCTGTTCTTTTATTTCTTGTTCACCTGTTGGTCTAGTTTGGTTAATGGTTTCCATGATAAAATACTCTTACCATAAGCAACTTAGGAGCAGGAAGTGCTTATCTGACTTAGATTTCAGTTCAACAATCTACCTACAGGAGAAGCCAGCGCAGTATCTGGAGAAGGAACTGAAGTGAAACCAGTTTTCAAATCAGCTTACTAATTCAGTCAGTGTTTCACTCTCAGATTTGTCATACAGACCAGGTCCACATGTGTATGCTGTGGACCATGCCACCTCAATGATTGGTCAAGACGATCATTCAACTACACAGCCACAGGCAACTCTGATGATGTAGGACTGTAATAGGATAATTTGGTCTCTGGTAGAGCACTGGCTTTGAGGTAGCCTGAGACCCAACAGGTGTCCATTGTCTGTGTAGGTATGGCACATATCTCGCCATGCCCCTGGATTCCAGACTCCTGACATATGGTCTACATTTCCATTAACCTGTGCCTTGCAGTCACATTTCACTTTGCAGCCCCTCCCAAAGGGGTGTCACCTAACACACCTAACATCATAAAAAATACTGTTCTCCCTTTTCTGTCATCAATATTTTTTGTCTTCCTAGTGCACCTCAACAGGAGGCAGGTGCTTACAGGAATCCCCTCTGGATTCCCATATATGTGTGATAGAGTTCCCACAGCATATACTCCTGTCATTGTAGCTTGGCAGTAGGATATCTCCTCATGACCTCCATAGTAAGTCTGTGTGGTAATGAGTTTGTTAATGAACTTGATTTTATCAGTTCTCTATTTGTATATTTGCTTCAAACATTATGTTTCGTGTTATAAATACAGACTAGTAAGATATTTCTCTTAGTGAATCTTTCCTCTTCTGCTTTTAGAAAAGTTAGGAAAATGAAGCAGATCCTGTGTTAAGAATTGTAATTTACACTTTACTTCTCCCTGCACACAGTCTTATATGGATGATGGTTTGAGCACATCTGTGGTTGGCTGTCTATGAGAGAATGGGACAACTTCCTCTAACTGTTCTATGAAGACATGAAAAAGGTGAGAATCAGTATTAAAGTCACCACAGAGTTAAGAATTAGACCCTAGTGATGAGTAAGGGTACTGAGAACTGTGATTTTTTTTGCTTGTTTTTACATTTTAAAAAATTATCTTTTATTAATTAAAACAACTTATTTTGAATTTATTTTGATCATATTCACCCTCTTCCTGAGGCCTTCCAGATCCTTTATGCCTCCTTACCCAACCAATTTTAAAGTTTACTTCAAAAAAGTCTAGGATAACAAGTTTCTCAAATCAAGAAAAGAAAATATAATACAATGCAATATAAAATAATGTGCTGGATAGTTGTGTGCCAATATGTCACAAGCTATAATCACCTGAGAGAAGGGAACTTTAATGATGAAAATGCATCCATAAGATCAGGCTGTAGGCAAACCTGTGAGGCACTTTCTCCGCTTTATCTGTTGTACTTGTTGGTGAAGCTTGCCTCTGAGATATCTGTTAGAATTCCTAAAATTTTCATTTTGAAATTTCATTTAATTTGTATTTTCTCTATTGATTCTATTTCTACCAAGGTGGAAATCAGTTTAATTCATTTCCTTCCACTGTTTCTTTGTGCTTTCATAGATTCTCTAAGGGATATATTCCTTTCATTTTAAAAGACCACTATTATTTTCATGCAAGCTGTTTTAAGGATTTTTCATTGCACCTCAGCTATGGTAAAATATTCTGGGCTTTCTGTTTTATGATGGCTGGATGTAGTAGAGATATACTGTCCTGGTCATTATTGATTGTTTTTTTTTAACACTGGCATTTAGGCATCTTATGTTTGGAAGATAATAATTCTAGGTGCTGACATCTGGTCTTTTCCTTATTGGGTGGGAGTTTTGTCCTCTGGCTTCTGTTTCAATCTCGTTATTAGGAAAGTGAGTTAGTTCTATGTAGCCTGTAGGAACTACAATAGGGTTCCATTGAAGATGTGTTTATGGTATGTGGGACCTGAGAGTTAGGAATAGAGATAGGTTGTACTCAGTAGAGGAACTGCACAAAAAGGAAGAATGCAGGGTGTTCCACCAGGATCTGCTTAGTCAATCTCCTGGGAATAGAACCAGATAGTAAGGAGAGGCCACAGCATATGGTTTGTTAGAGAAGTTGGGATGAGACTCAGGGATTGGATTTGAACAACGGAGGGAGAGATGAACATCTGAAGATGTAAACTAATTGCTTCCCTTGTCATAATGGGCATTGGCTTCCTTCGGAGTGCATTCTGGAGTTGGGAGCTGGGACAAAGTGACCCACCCACAAAGTTTGGTGTTCTTTTGTAGAGATAAGTAAGAGACTGGATGATTGAACTTTGAGACATGCTGGGAAAAGTGAAGATCTATCTGGCCTACCTGTTTCCCTGGCTAGAGTGGTCTGTGAGTTCCCAGGGAGTGCTGAACTTGGGAGCTGGGATAATGCAATGAGTGGAGGGATGAGAAATATTAGAAAGGAAAGATCTTTGGATCTACTAGAGAAGGGAAGTGATGTCACAAGTTTTCTGCTGCAGAGCTAAGGATGAGGTTTGGGCATAGGATCTGGAAAAACAGGGAAAAGTTGAAAGTCTTCTGTTAGCCTACCTGTTTCCCTAAGTGATTGAGAAACATAATTATTAATAAAAAATTAAAGTTCAACCAGACAAAACCAGAAGATGAAATTATTCAAAAATAATTTGACATCGTAGTGTTATTTCTCAGGAAGCAGAAAATTTACATGTAAAAAACATACATCATTCTTTTTTTTTCCCTCATATGTAGACTCTTATTTAATCATCATGAAATTCAGTTTTCCCTAGGAAGGATAACTACCTATCTGTCTGGTGCAAACTAGTGTAGATTCACATAAGTCAAATCTATGACCATTTAACACACTGTTTTCAAGTATTGTCATGATTCTTTACCTTCATATGAAATATTAAGTGAAACTGTGATAAATATGTAAAAAATGTTTTAAACCAATTAAGCCTCCTGGCACTATCGAAGCACAAGTTTTGGTGTTCTAGATTTTGTCTGGTAATGACTACCTCCTAGGATTAAATTAACTGTGGTAGTACACAGTTATTGTTGCAACAATTGGAGATCTGAGACAGAAAAAATGTGATTTTGATGCACACCTGAGCTGCAACCTGAAATGCTTATTCGAAACAAAATCTCTCAGAAGTACTCCAAGTAATAAAATTTGAGAACATATTTATGAAACTCCTGTAAAACTTTATTGTTTTCAGTTAGACTAAGCAAACAATACTGTCTGGCATTAACATTAATCTTTGTTGAGGTCTTTGTGCATATTTGTTCATTCACTTTGATCATTGTTTAGAAGCATTTCTATAAGTTTCTTTAAACATCCCAGGGCAGGTTAGGTATGGTTGTACATACTTTTTCATGCCAGCACATGGAAGGAAAAAGCCAGATAAATGTATCTCTGATCTCTCTGAGTTTGAGGTATACTGGTCTCCACATCAACTTCCATTGCACAAGACAAAACTCTACAGTTAGGCCCTGTCTTAAGAAAAAAAATATCAGTATACTTACTGAATATGTTGGCACACAACTGTGACCACAGCACTATGTAGATACAGGCAGGAGGATCTGAAATTCAAGGTCATTATCCTCTACAAAACAAGTTTAAGTTAATTCTTGGTTCTATGAGAACTTGTCTCTAATATTTTCTCCTCCCTAAAGAAAAGCCCAGCCTCTGTCTTTTAGGAACCAAAGATCAGCCAAATTGCAAGCTCATTCAATACATAAATGTTATGTGTACATACTTCTTGCCTGTGTTCCATTGCTATGGGAATAAGTTTTCAAAAGTTTAAAATATTATACAAACACTGATGTTTATGTTCCTGTTGTTCTATATGTGAATACCTGAAAGTGGTCATAGAATAAATCCCGTTGTGGAATTGTGAAGGTGATTTTTAAAAAGATAGTGTTACTAATTCTAGTAGTAGCAACAGAAGTGGCAGTGGTGGTGGTGATATGTATACATTTCTGTTTTTAATGCCTACAGAGGTGAGAAGAGTGTATAGGTTCCAAGGGACCTACAGTTGCATGTAGCTGTAAATCTATTTCTTTGGAGCTTAGAAACTGATCTCAGATCCTCTGCCTATGCAATACAGACAGATGACTCTCAAAGAAAATTTACCTGTGCAAATACATCTTTGAGAGTCATCTCTTCAGCCTAGAATCATGGAGTCTTGAGTCATAAATATTTGCTATATTTATTACTATTTTGTTGTGTATTATCAGCAAATTCCAATTCACTTTATAAAATTCTAGCTTAAAAACATTTTTTATTTAAATAAACCATTTATTTTGGATTTTATTTACTGAGGTTGGATATGACAAACATTTCTAAGTGTGATGCTATGGAAATTAAACAAGTATTACTTGGTCTTTTCTGCTGTGGCAGACTTCTAACTGGTCTGCTGCCCTGAAGATGCCATATCCTGACCCATCCTAGAAGAACAACTGTACCCAGAGTAGCAGGTAAGAACCCTCGTCTACAACACTAGAGCTGCAGCTGAGAGCCTGGGGCACTCAGGACCCATCACTCACCCAAACTCTGCCATCTAGAATACCACTCACCTTCTGCCACTTACTTGGTCCACGCTGCTCAGACAGAATCCTATCAGGTCTGCTCCCATGATGATACTATATCCTGATCCATCCCAGAGTAACCACTGCACTCAGAGCAGTGGAGGAACCACTGCATTCAGAGCAGTGGAGAATCTGATGCACTCAGAGAAACTGAGGAAGCTGGATTCTCAGGATCTCTAACATGCAGAGGATCATAGGGTTTCAGGATCCCTGAGGCAGCCTGAGTCCAAGGAATTCTTCCACTAAAGATCTTCAGGATCGCAGGATCTCAGTCACAGCTGGACTCTGAGGCCTTCTGACATAAGCAAGATAACAGGAGAGACAGGCTCCAGTGAGAGACAGTGAGTGTATGTAGCAATAGAGATAAGCAGAGGGGGAAAGGCAAGCATAAGAACATCAGAAACAGAAAACAAGGTTACCTGGCATCATCAGAACTCAGTTCTCCCACCATAACAAGTCCTGGCCCCTCCATTACACTGGAAAAGCAGGATTCAGATTTAAAATCACTTCTCATGATGATGATAGAGAATTTTAAGAAGGATGTAAATAACTCCCTTAAAGAAATACAAGACAACACAGGTAAGTAGGTAGAAGCCCTTAAAGAGGAAACACAAAAATTTCTTAGAGAATTGCAAGAGAACACAAACAAACAGGTGAAGAAATTAAACAAACCATCCAGGATCTAAAAATGGAAGTAGAAACAATAAAGAAATTCTAAAGGGAAACTACACTGGAGATAGAGTACCTAGCAAAGAGATCAGGAGTCATATAATGCAAACATCACCAACAGAATAAAAGAGATATAAAAGAGAATCTCATGTGCAGAAGATACCATGGTAAACATTGACACAACTGTCAAAGAAAATGCAAAATGCAAAAAGCTCCTAACCCAAAACATTCAAGAAATACAGAACACAATGAGAAGACCAAACGTAAGGATAATACATATAGATGAAAGTGAAGATATCCAACTTAAAGGGCCAATAAATATCTTCAACAAATTTATATAAGAAAACTTCCCTAACCTAAAGAAAGAGATGCCCATGAACATCCAAGAAGCCTACAGAACTCCAAACAGACTAGACCAGAAAAAATTCCTCCTGTCACATAATAATCAAATCATCAAATACACAAAACAAAGAAAAATATTAAAAAGCAGTAAGGGAAAAAGATAAAGTAACATATGAAGCAAACCTATCAGAATTACACCAGAGAGTATAAAAGCCAGAATATCCTGGACTGATATCAAACAGACCCTAAGAGAACAGAAATGGCAACCCAGATTACTATACCCAGCAAAACTCTCAATCACTATAGATGAAGAAAACAAGATATTTCATGACACAACTAAGTTTACAAAATATCTTTCCACAAATCTAGCCCTACAAATCATAATAGATGGAAACTTCCAATACAATGAGAGAAACTACAAACTAGTAAAAGCAAGAAAGAAAACTTCAAGCAATCCCAAAAGAAGATAGCTAAACAAACATAATTCCATATCTAATAACAAAATAACAAGAAGCAACAATAACTTTTACTTAATATCTTTTAACATCAATGGAATCAATTTCCTAATATAAAGATGTAGACTAACAGAATGGATATATAAACAGGGTCCAGAACTTTGCTGCATAAAGGAAATGCACCTCACTGAAAAAGACAGAAACTACCTCAGAGTAAAAGGATAGAAAACAATTTTCCAAACAAATGGTTCCAAGAAATAAGCTGGAGTTGCCACACTAATATAGAATAAAAGAAGGACACTTTATACCTGTCAAAGGAAAAACCTACCAAGATAAACTCTGAACATCTATGCTCCAAATACAAGAGCACCCACATTCATAAAGGAAACTTTACTAAAGCTTAAAGCACACATTGCACTTCACACAATATAAGTGGGGGACTTCAATACCCCACTCTTATCAATGGACAGATCATGGAAACAGAAACTAAACAGATACACAGTAAAACTAACAGAAGTTATGAACCAAATGAATTTAATAGATATCTATAGAATATTTCATCCTAAAACAAAAGAATATGCCTTTTTCTCAGCACCATATTGTACCTTCTCCAAAACAGACCATATAATTAGTCACAAAACAGGCCTCAACAGATACAAAAATGATTGAAATAATCTCTTGCATCCTATCAGATCACCATGTACTAAGACTGCTTTCAATAATAACAAAAACAATGGAAAGCTCACATACAAGTCAAAATGAATAATATTCTGCTCAATGATAAACTGGTCAAGGAAGAAATAAAGAAATTAAAGACTTAATAGAATTTAATTAAAATGAAGGCTCTTCATACCAAAACTTATGGGATGCAATGAAAGCAGTGCTAAGAGGAAAACTCATAGTTCTAAGTGTCTACAAAAAGAAACTGGAGAGAGCATACACTACTAACTTGATAGTAACCTGAAAGCTCTAGAACTAAAAGAAGCAAATACACCCAAGAGGAGTAGCAGGCAGAAAATAATCAAACTCATGCCTGAAATCAACCAAGTAGAAACAAAAAGAACTATCCCAAGTATCAACAAAACCTGGAGCTTGTTCTGGGAGGAGGGGGAGTCTCTTCTTTCTTCTCCTCATTGGTTCTTCTTGAGGCAGCTGTAGGATATGAGAAATAGAAGAACATCAGCGTGGGGGTGTGGGTAGAGAGATATGACTTGATCTTAAGAGGTTGGGGTAAATCCTTGAGCTTTACAAAATTTGGTAAGACTTTGGTCTTATGAGGTATTTAGGTTTTAATAAAATCTTAGTTATCTATGTTACTAAAGTTTACTTACTATGCCACTGTAGCTGACCTGCCCTCTGGTATCCTCTGAAGCCAGAAACTGCAGGTTCTGACACTATCACCTTAGCCACAAAACTGCAGAGGATTAGGCAAATAGCCTTTGTACTCTCTAACTTACATCTGCTAGCTTGAGGTCCCAGGAAGAAAACACACTTAGAGAAGTTATCATAGCTTATTACCAAGTGTAAAAAGTTTCCTATGAAAGCTATCTAAGAGAAAATGTGGAAAGGTCCTAAGTGGGGAAAAAGAAAAGATTCTAACAAAGGAAAAATTCTAAGTTAAAAAATTCTAAGCAAAGCAAAAGGAAAGAAAAGGACGAATGGCTCCTAACGAACTTCTATGACTTCGACTACTCTGTTCTACTAATACCACGACTACTACCCTCTTTGTCTTTGTCCTCAGTACTTATGCATCTTTCAGAGTACATGGTCACATGTTTCAAAGTTCATCACAAGTTCACACCAAAATTCAAATCATAAATTGAAATAGAAGTTTACAACAGATAATGTTTACATGCATATCCACTAGGAGTAATTATCTGACTAAACATCCATCACTTGTCTAGCTCCACAGGTTCACTGAAGGATTAAAACTATAACTAAGAAATTAGTGAAGTTTTGTATAGATAAACTCAGGCAGTATTTTCTCTTCTGTCCTAGTAACTATAATAAATCATGGACTTCATTTTAGTGACATTTGGTTAATTGTTTTACAGCCTCTTGGAATGTGCTCTGAGCAGGAGAAAGTCTGGTTACTATGTAAGGGAAATTAACTGATGACACTCGGGAGACTGGCAGAGTTCTCATTACAGTTTTGTGTGGTGCGCTGCTGCGCATGCATAGTCTCCCTCCTGAAATCGCCATTAAACACCAGTAAGGCGAATGCCTGAGCAGCCGGTAACTGTCAAAAACTGACGCAGCCCGACGTGTCATATCTGTCGAGATGCATCAGCCAATAGAGTAGGGACACGCCGACCCGATGGGTATATAAGGAGAGCTCCTCTTCCCCTCGGGGTCTTTCCTCATTTTCATTGGAATAAAGCTTGCTGCAGAAGGATCCTGGTGTCCGAGTCCGTTCTTGCTGGCGAGAAGGTGACGCGGGTCACAGTTGGTGCCGAAACCCGGGAACAGGCCGAACCATCGCCAGGCACCGAGGGAGACCCTCCGCTCGCGGAGTGGATTCAGAACTGCAGACAAAGGTAAGCTCTGAGAGGCATGTTTGGCCTTGATCTATTTCGTGTCCCTCCCCAGGCAGTGCTCGTTCTCTTCCTTCTGGTTTTGCAGGATGAGAAAAGCCGCTCGACTATAGCGGCAGGCCAGGGAGTGCTAGACGAATTACAGACCAGCATGTCAGAAACAGAGCAGGATAAGCGCTTAGGAGCTCAGAAAAAAAAGGGAGCTCAGAAAGAAAAAGGAAAAAAAGGCATGTCTAAGAAAACAGACCCTTCCAAAGACGTTCAGTCCACGGAAGTGAGAGGTAGGGGAAAGGATGCCCTTGGGAGAGACGAAGGGAAAAGAAGCCTCAGAAAGAAATCTCTTTATCCAGTAAAGGAGCTGGAGGCCTCGGGGCTTGGTGGCTCTGAGTCGGAGGAGCTAACTTCCTCTGAAGAGGAAAGAGCTGCTTCAGGTGGGAAGAGCAGGGTTAGAAAGAATTGGAAAATTAAGAAAGCAGGGTACTGAGGTGTTACAATAGCTGCCTGCTACATCTCCAATTAACGAGAAGAAAAGTTACATCTTGAATATGAGAGAGAGAGAAAGGGTTTTAGAAAAACAGTTGTCCTCTCTCTGAGCTGTGTCAACAAAAAAGAATGAAAAGGCTATTTCAGAGCTCATCTAGAAAAAGAAAGAAATTCGGGAAACGTCCTGAATTTCTCTTTATTTATGTCCTTCTTTGTTGTCTGTCCTTGGCGCGCCAATGTCCACGTGTTTGTGTTTGCTTTTTGTTTCATTGTCTAAATGTTCTGTGTTTGTTGCATGTTCAAAAGAAAAGATCGTTAAAACTGCTTGATACAACCTTTGGGCTAGTTTAACTTTGTTTTAAAGACAGTCTTAATATACACAGCAGAGGCTGATAAGCTACCCTACACCTGTAGCTAAGAGTTGAGCTGAGCTGAAAAAGCCTTTCCAGGAATTGACTGTTGGCATAAGCTGCTTTTAAAAGAAACCAATAGCTTTTTGGGTTTTATAAAGAAGCGAAGAGTTGTTTTGTCCTAGAAAAGTCTCGGTGACAAGGTGCTTTTCTCTTGAAATTACAGCTAGAAAAGGCAACAAATTTTGTTTGGTCTAAATATATAAGATGCATAGCCACTTCATTGTTGTTTCTGATTGGTTTTAAAAGTATAAAAATGTTCTAAATTATTGGGTGTGATTAGAAATTTACAACTTTGGTAACAGAAAGTTGGTGTAAAACTAACTCAGTGTTATAGTCATTCAGAAACCAGAAACCAGTATCTCTTCAATGAGATATTAAAAGCTTCTTCATCAAAAGAAACTCAAAATTATAGTTAAACTGCCAGTATTCCATTGGCTACAGTTGGCAGTTCAACTGTGAGTTTGGAATTCTTTGACTCATCCATGTTTATGGTTGAGAAGAGGATAGAGGAGAGTTGCCTATTTTGTCAGGAGGAGATTACTTGATTTGGAGCTCAGATTGGAGTAACACTAGTAAAAATCATAGTGCCATGATGAATGCTCAGACAGGCATGTAGATTGGGATATTAACATGCTTCTAGGAGAAGGTCAGTGTGAAGGCAATGTTAATCAGGTTGAACTGCCTACACAGCTCTCAGACCATACAAGCAGACTTAGATACATTCATCTTTGCGATGAAATTGCACCCTCATACAATCAGGGTCTGGCCATAGCTTGCACAGAACCTGACAGCCGTTACAAAAGAAACGGCCGTTACAAAGTTGCGCCCAGAAGCTTGGAAGGAGCTTAGAGCTCAATGTTTCCAAATGTTTCTTAAGGAGCCAGGAAAAGTGGTGATGGTTGCTATTTGCATTAATGGCTTAAACTGCTTCTTTAAATTTCTTGCCTGGATTTATATGGGTTCAGCAAGTATGTTCTCAGAAGCTATACACTCATTATCTGATACTTGTAACCAGGGTTTGATAGCACTAGACATCAGCAAGTCTGTTCAGACACCAAATTCTTCTCACCCCTGTGGCTTTTCAAATATGCGCTATATTTCTTCATTGATTAGTGGTATTGGTATTTTCATGATGGGCGCAGGACTCTCTTGGTATCATGGAGTCATGGGATTGCTTCATCCTCAACCAATGGAATCCCTTCTATGGGCATATTGTATTTTAGCAGGATCTTTGGTGTTTGAAGGAGTGACACTTCTTGTTGCCATAAATGAACTTCGCAGGAGCGCCCAGGCCAAGGGCACATCATTTTACAAGTATGTCATAGAGAGTCGTGATCCAAGTACACTCCTGGAGAGCGACCCATCAGTAAGGGCAATCCATAATGTCAAAGCCACAGACCTGAGATTAGGCAAAGTCAGATTTAAGGCAGAAGTTGATTTAGATGAACGAGTTGTTACAAGATTATATTTGGAAAAGCAAGATTTTGACCAAATGATGTAGGAAATTCAAGAAGTGAAAACTCCTGAACAATTAGAAGCCTTTATGCTTAAACACGGAGAAAACATTATTGATACTCAGAAGATGAAGTAGACAGGCTTGAGAAAGAGTTAAAGAAACAAAATCCTGAAGTTCGACACGTAGATCTTGAGATCCTATAGACAAGATGAGTGAGTCACTTGGTTTGTGAAGAATGCTTTTACCTTTTCTCCATATATAGCAACCTAAAGTTATTAAGCCCAGGACAAGATGTTTCCTTTTTACCCATGCTGGTATGCATGTGGCTCCGCCTTGTGTTTTTTGTATATAATGGTAGTTATAATGGTAGTTTTTTGAGTTGTGATAATAGTACTTGCTTTTATGCTGTATGTTGGAATGTTTCTATATTTTCCTTTGCTATGGTGGCCCGAATGCCTCGTTATGTTCCTTGGCCTGTGGAAGCTCCTTCAGCTATGACGTTATTTGGGCCTAGGAGGGATTTTGACATAGAGATGGCCCAATTAGGTTGCCAATGGAAATATTCTGGCTTGTGTGTTACTTCTATTTCATATCAAAATGTAAGTCATGCTGCTAATCTTTCTAAGGAAATTTCCAAGTATCTTGCAGGAAATTGGTCGGAAAACTTTGATGAGACACTCAAAAAATTGAGAGCGGCTGTGGTGGCCATCAACTCGACGTGCGTGGATCTGTCCCTGTCTGAGGGACTCTCCTCCTGGATCTCTTCAGCTTTCTCTTTCTTTAAAGAGTGGGTGGGAGTGGGACTTTTTGGAGCTATTTTGTGCCTGGGTCTGGTGGGTACCCTTTTTCTGCTGTGTAGGATGTGAGCTCAACGACAGAGAGATAGGGTGGTGGTGGCTCAGGCCTTTGCAGCCTTAGAAAATGGTGACTCTATTGGCATCTGGATGTCCATGCTCAGGGACTAACATCGATAGCCCCTATACTATTCTTGCCCACGAGGTCTCTGTTCCATGATAAGGGCTGGTATGTCAATGACGGAGTGTCAAGTAAGACTCGGTCCACCTAAGACAGGGCGATCTCGGGTGGGGAGATCGACCCAGTGACGGGTAAGGATTTGAGCATTGCTCTCCTTTGCAGGCTCAGTACCATCATGAGGCCTCAAACGAAAGGGGCTACAGAACCTCCCCAAGAATCACCCATGCAGGGTCTCAGCTTCTGCACCTGGAGGGCCTTTGCCCATTGCACCCAGTGAAGTGAGACCTTCTGCTCCAATTAATATTTAAATCAGGGGGAGATGTGGTGCGCTGCTGCGCATGCATAGTCTCCCTCCTGAAATCGCCATTAAACACCAGTAAGGCGAATGCCTGAGCAGCCGGTAACTGTCAAAAACTGACGCAGCCCGACGTGTCATATCTGCCGAGACGCATCAGCCAATAGAGTAGGGACACGCCGACCCGATGGGTATATAAGGAGAGCTCCTCTTCCCCTCGGGATCTTTCCTCATTTTCATTGGAATAAAGCTTGCTGCAGAAGGATCCTGGTGTCCGAGTCCGTTCTTGCTGGCGAGAAGGTGACGCGGGTCACAGTTTTGACTATCAATAAGGGACCTAATAGCAGTCCCACTCTAAAGGAGCTTAATAATCATTGATATAATTTTAGGAATTCTTATAGGATCATCGTTAAGACTTAAGAAGTCATGTATTTGTCTATATAACATTACTACAAGACAGTACATCTTTGTGGATCTGCAGAGATCTGCTCCAAAGGGGTGTGCAGTTGCTTACTGATGTTACATATGTTTAATAATAATAATAATAGAAAAAGCATATTAATAGCAGGAATCTTACCTAAAATAATTCCCCCATAGCCTTGCTGAATGAGGACTCACTTTGTCACAGATTATATAATAATCCAAGGCAAGCATTTCAGGATGATCATCTGCTAATAATTACCTTGTATCATTATGGCTCTTGACATGGTTCTTTGAGAAAACCAACAAGATAGATAAACCCTTAGCCAGACTAACCAGAAATCACAGAGTCAGAATCCAAGTTGTTAAAATCAGAACTGAAAAGGGAGCTATAGAAAATGAAACTGAGGAAATTTGAAAAATCATCAGATCCTTCTACAAAAGCCTATACTCAACAAAAATGGAAAGTCCGGATGAAGTGGACAATTTTCTAGACAGATACCAGGTACCAAAGTTAAATCAGGACCAAATAAACTATGTAAATATCCCTTAAGCCCTAAAGAAAGAGCTGTAGTCAACAAAATCTCCCTATTTAAAAAAAAAATCAGGATCACATGATTTTAGTGGAGATTTATGTCAGATCTTCAAGGAAAACCTAATACCAATTCACTTCAAGCCATTCTACAAGATAGAAACAGAGGGAACACTACCCAATTTGTTCTATGAAGCCAGAATTGTGTTTATATCTAAAGTACACAAAGACACAACAAAGAAAGAGAACTTCAGGCCAATCTCCTTTAAAATATTGATGCAAAAATACTGAATAAAATTCTCACAAACTGAATCAAAAAACACATCAAAACAATCATTCATCATCAATTAGGCTTTATCCCAGGAACGCAGGGATGGTTCAATATTCCAACAATATAATCCACTAGATAAACAAACTCAAAGGAAAAAAAAAACACATGATCATCTCACAAGATGCTGAGAAAGCATTTGAAAAA